TCTTGCTCCTGTGTTTTCCCCAAGGCTTAGACACTGAATGGAGGGGCAGTCATCTGGGAACCAGTCAAAGGGAGCCTTCAGTTGGCTGCCTTCCCAGACCTGTCCTCACCACATAAGTGACCAGGAGTGGCCATTGATGATGTTGTATATCCTAAGTGCATACAGTTTTTTTTCACTTAATCTGCTGCAGAACTCTGTAACAATAATTACTGGTGTGCACATTTTAAAGATAAAGAACATGTGCCTTCGAGTGGGAAAGTAACTTTCTCATGGTCACAAATATATTTAGCTTGATTCCAAAGCCCACATGACTAAGGACTGTTGCAAAATAAGTACAGTAGTGACCCACGGGGAGGGGCTGGGTTGGGACTAAACCTAACCAAACAAGAAGTTATGTACAGATTATTTTATTCTAGATCTTAGGTGCCTGTTATTCAGGGCTCACTGCCCTGGTCCAACACTCATTCTTCTGAAATAACCTTTCTGTTTTCTCTCTGCAGAGTGCTGCCACCTCAGCTGAAGACACTGAATCTGTCTTACTGTGGTCTGTCTAGTATAGATGTCACCATCCTTTCCCAGAGCTCTCAGGCCACCCACCTAAGGCAGTTGAATCTCTGTCACAACCAGATATTCTCAGAGGCTCATGAGCCCTTCCAGACTCTGCTGGAGAGGGCCTCAGGTACCCTACAGCATCTGCAAATAAATAATTGCCTGTTAACTGATTCTACTCTCTCTGCTCTCCTGCTAGCTCTGAGCCACTGTTCATGCCTCCGTGTGCTTAGTTTTGCCTCCAAACCCATTAGAATGCCTATGCTTTCGAGTGTTCTGCAGCACCTAACATCCTTGATGGTACTGAAGCATGTGATTTATCCAGTCCCTCTCCATTGCTACAGACGATGAGATGTTTGTGGCTTTTTTGACCGACAGCAGTTGGCTGAAGTTCAGGACCAATTGAAGACAATGCTGCAGGCGGTACAGTGGAAGGACATGCACTGGACTTTTCATACTGCATTATTACTGTAGTACAAGGAGTCGTGTCAGCACTGATGTGTGGCCACAAAAGTGCTCAGTGTTTTGCTTGAAGGCCTAATTTGTAGAGACACATGTAAAATTGTACTGTTTGGGAAGCGGGGCTCAGCAAGATTGGCTGTGTCCTTGACCTCTGTGAAAAAGGAACTCTAAGAAGGAAGGAGAGGAATTTGGAAGCTCCTGTGGATCTGTTGCCCATTGCCCTCTACATCCTCTTCTGCTTGCTAAGTACAGTGTTGGTTACGTGATGGAAGCTCTCCCAGTCATGTTCCATCACTTCCCTGTGCACACAGGTGGGTTCATTCATCATCTTATAGGCCCTTGGCACGAGTCCCATGAACTGAAACTCTCCCTGGCTGTGGTAGTTGTTGAAGCCAATAAGTTCACCCTCGAGGGCCTTGAATACTTCTTGTATGTATGATTGCCTTAGGTTGCTTATGAGAAACCCTATGCAAGGGAAAGGAACCAAACAAACTACTCTCACTGCCTATTGGTGTCTTCATCATGGTGCTAGCTTCCTCTGCAGGTCTCAGACCCTTGGTTCAGTTGCTTTTACTTCACATGCACTCACCCCATGTCTATTGTGCTTTAGGTACTGTTCCAGGTGCTAAGAAACATCAAGTCCCTGATCTCAAACCACTCATAGTAACAGCTGCTCCTATGTTTTGTCCGTTTCTCCACTCTTTCTTAGGACATTTGGGAAAATTATGCCTCCATGGCCCAGATTTTTGTTCACTTTTTCCCTTACATATAGCTGCTCAACCATCAGGTCATGGCTTAAATGTTACCTCCTCCACTAGGTTTTCTCTTACTTCCCCATTTAAGTAGGTTGTTACTTGCTGTTGGTCTCAGTGTGCCATGTGCATGAATATTCTTTCATGGTATATGCTATTTCATATGTGTGGGGGCCTGGCCTATGGCCGAGGCTGAGCCCCACTCTAGCTGGACAATGCCCTAAAGATGGCGCCTGCTTCCTGCTCACTACCCTTTCCCCTCTCCCCTGTTGGGGATTGGCCCATCAGACTTCCATACCCATGCACAGCTCGTGCTGCCCGCTTAGAGTGGCGCGTGACACCTATTCGCTTAAAGGTCACGCATGATACTATCCCGGATTGGTTGGGTGACTGAATATAAGGGAGCCCGCCGGGAGGGAGAGGAGCTTCCCGACAACTGCTGTAACCACCGTGAGAGATTAGACAATAAAGCCTAGAGAAGAATCAAGACCTTGGGCGTGTTGCTTCTGTCCTTGAAGGGTCGCGACACATGTGTTTGCTTCCTCTGATCTTCCACTAGGTTTGCACTGCTCTCGATGGTACACACTAACCATGCGTGGCCACTGAGTGCTAGAAATCTGGCTACTCCGAAATGCAATTTTCTCCAGGTGTTAAATACACACCACATATCCAACAGTTAGTAAGAAACAGGATGTAGAATAACTAATTGATAGTTTATTTATATTGCTTACATGTTGAAAGGATAACACACTGCATGTCAGAGACAGGGAAAAAAAGAATGTAAATTGTTTATATTTACCTGTTGATATGGTAGCCCTGTATTTCAAAGAGTATGAAGAGTGAAGATGACTAATGAATGATCTGTTTATGCCTACATGTCAGAATGATAAAGTGCTATATTTCAAAGACATACTGAGAAAAAAGAATGTAAAATTGCTTGTTCATCTTACATGTTGAAATGATAACACACTGAACTTTAATGACTTCATAAAAAAAACAGAATGAAAAATAATCAGTAGTTTGTGCATACTGTTCTGTTGAAATGAGAGCAGACTTGGTAAGACAGAAGAATGTAAAGGTAATTGATGGAATACTTATATTGTTTCCATGTTGAAATGACAACACATGCATTTCAAAGGCTCAATAAAAAGTAATTTAGAGTTATTCTTTCGTGTTGCTTACACAGGCAATAACAAATCGCATTTCAAAGACTGAGAGTAAAGAATGTAAAAATTTATAATGAATAAAAATAGTTAACATTTTTCATCTATGTTTGGCAGCAATACACAGCATTGGACGAACCTGTTAAAAGAGCTAGTAAATGAATCACGTCTACTGCTTCTTTGTTGAAATGGTAACAGATAGCATTTCAAAGACTTTGTAACAAAAAGAGAATGGACAGTAATTTGTCCATATTGCTTATGTGTTGAAAGTCCACACTGCACTTCAAAGGCTTCCTAAGAAATGTAAAAACTAACAATGTCTTGGTTTCCATGTTGAAATTGTCATTTTTGTTCACTTTTGTGTTAAATAAAAGTCACTAAAACTCACCTGATTCTTTTAACTTTAGGAGGTTTTCACTTTTATTTTGGTGTGGCTTATACTGCATTTCTTTCTGACAGCATGGCACCTGTGTGGGAACTGGGGGAGAAGAAAGCAAGAGCATCAGCACAAACATCAAGCTGCTCTGTGGGTAGCACATTCCTTCCTCTCTGACCCAGAAGTCTCTTGTATTCTCCAGAATCTATGAAACTATGGCAGGCTAACTTAACTCAGAAGGAGAGGAAAATGACACACCTTCCATGGTTGAGAGCTTGGATGACAAAGATGGCATGTTGACAAAGACATGGTTCTTCTGAAGAGGAAATGCCTGGGGCCTTCGTCCTGGTCTGGAGGATATGGGGAGGCTCCCTGAGATCTTGTACTGAATGTCCTCATTCAAAGTAGTGAGTGAGAGCAGTTGAAGGTCCCCGCCTATGCTGCTTGTTAATGAGCGCCTGGAAACTGAGTGGTAAGAGGTAGGAGTACCTCGCTCCTACTCTGGTAATTTAGTCAAGATATATTTGATTGTTGTCTCCCCAGCTTCCTATCTGTACGACCTCGGGCACATGATGCTCTTTTGCGGTTCAGGTTCTTCATCCATAAAAAGAGGAATGACACTGTTTACTTCCCAGGCATGGCATGAAGGGTAACTGAGTTCTTCCCATGAAGTGCTTGGCACACTGCCTGGCACCGTTGCTGTTCAGTCAATGAGTACTCTTAGTATTTTAGTGATGCCTGGTTTAAGCAACAACAACTGACAAAGCAGTGTCTGTGATAAGGGTGGCGAGGAAAAGACGTGCAATCAGCTGGCAAGGTTGGAGGTAGAGTCAGTTCTGGTTTATTTGATCTTCTGGTTATATGCGCCCCATAGACTGCCAGTGTTCGAGTGACTGTTATTTTCAGAAATAATAACTATAACAGAGCCCCCAGCTTTGCTGTGGCACTGAATATTTTGTTCTCCCCAGTAATACCAAATGGTGAGGAAACATCTATAAAGAGCAAGGAAAGGATACTGACATAACTGTGTGGTAACTAGTCAGAGGCAAAGACACTGATTGACGGGATCACCAATTCCTCGGATCCATAGCTGCATATTCTATGTGTGAGGACAGCATTTGGGTTTATGCAGAAATGTTTATGGTGTAGAGAGCTGAATGAGGGTCACCAAGTAATGGCTATCCCAGCATGAAGTCTTCTCCCCCTCTCTGCTTCTTACACTTCCCCCCACCAATTTGTAGCATGGCAAACTGGACACAATTATGGAATATGGAACGCTTTTGCACATGCTTGAGACAGCTATTGTAGTATAGAATTGAGCACGGCAAGTGGTGAACTTGCTAACTGCTGCTTGAGAGCACTTCTCCAGTAGTTACCCAAGAAAATAGGGTTCCGTGTATGCCTTTGCAGGAAGGCCCACTTGAGGCTTTTGCTTTTACTCTGTCAGCTGATCATAAAGCCTTTCAAGAAAGATCAAGCTATTGAAGGGCTTACTAAAAAGTGAGGCTCACATCAGACTGCGTGGGTATCCATGTTTCAGAGGTCCATGCCATCACCCGAGTTTCAGAGAGAAGATGGCAAAAGGCAGTGCCTGGGCTTTTGACTCAGACTGACCTGGGTTTGAGTCCTCAGATGTTCCTTCCACTTCAAAGGCAATAAACAACAAAACCCCACAGAGGCCCACGCTCTCACAGAGTTCCCAGTCAGGGTCAGGCTTGGTATTCCCACTGAAGGGGATAAACGTTCTCTGAGAGTCAGGGCATCATGAAAGGGGGGAGCAACTAGGACCCCTACAGTGTGCCACGCCCTGTGACAACCATTTCACAAGCCCATTTAATTCATTTTTCACAGCTCCACAAGAAGTGGGTTCAGTTTGCCCCAGTGTGCAAACAAGGAAACTGGGAGGTTAGGTACTGGGCCCAAAGTCCCAGGGTGAAGACCTAAGATGAGAGGCAGCAAACTCGCATGGCCTGTGTCGCTGGTGTCCAAGCTGTGGGTGCCTGAGAGCCATGGATGCGGGTCAGACCTGGATGGTTGGGGGCAGAGTGGAGGCGGGAAACAATAGCATGAAAAGGAAGGACAGGGAAGCTGGGAGAGTTCTGAGAGTGAGCCTGGCTAGTGGAGGGAGCATGGGGCATCTGCAGAGGGGCCCCTGCACAGTCTCACCTACCTTGAAGACCCCACTGACAGAGAAGCAGAGCATGGTCTCCCAAAAGGGACGTGCCCTGGCGCTCAGCACCACCCAAACCTCCCACCCACATGAGGCTCCCTGGGCCGGCCCAAGGGAGGGAAGAGCCACTTCCCGTATGGAGCCACGTGTCCACCACGAAGGAGCTGAGGTCATATTGAGTTCCTGACAATATGCACAGGGAGCACAGGATGTCACGCTATGTGTGTTTCAGTGGCTTAAACCTCAGATCTGTGGGGAAGGAGAAGCTAGCCAAGGCTGGAGTGGCCATACTCTGGGACCATGACCGGCCTGTCCCACCCCCTAGCCCGGGCAGTCTTGCCCACCACACATGCACAGGGGTCCTTGAGCTCCTTTATATTCCTGCTGTCCTTGGCATACTTGCACAAGCCGCTTCTAGGTGAAAAAAG